TCACTTGGACCAAGTCCTCCCTTGGACCAAGTCCTCGCTTGGACCAAGTCCTTGCTTGGACCAAGTCGTCACTTGGACCAAGTCGTCAGTTGGACCAAGTCCTCGCTTGGACCAAGTCCTCGCTTGGACCAAGTCGTCACTTGGACCAAGTGCTCGCTTGGACCACGTCGTCACTTGGACCAAGTGCTCGCTTGGACCAAGTCGTCACTTGGACCAAATGCTCGCTTGGGCCAAGTGCTAATTTGGACAAAGTCGTCACTTGGACCAAGTGCTCACTTAGACCAAGTCGTCACTTGGACAAAGTGCTCGCTTAAACCAAGTTGTCACTTGGACCAAGTGCACGTCTGGACCAAGTCGTCGCTTGGACCAAGTGCTCGCTTGGACCAAGTCGTAACTTGGACCAAGTGCTCGCTTGGACCAAGAGGTCACTTGGACCAAGTCGTCACTTGGGCCAAGTTGTCAGTTGGACCAAGTCCTCGCTTGAACCAAATACTCACTTGGACCAAGTCCTCCCTTGGACCAAGTCGTCACTTGGACCAAGTCGTCACTTTGACCAAGTCGTCAGTTGGACCAAGTCCTCGTTTGGACCAAGTACTAACTTGGACCAAGTCCTCCCTTAGACCAAGTCGTCACTTGGACCAAGTCGTCAGTTGGACCTAGTCCTCGCTTGGACCAAGTACTCACTTGGACCAAGTCCTCCCTTAGACAAAGTCGTCACTTGGACCAAGTCCTCCCATGGACCAAGTCCTCGCTTGGACCAAGTGCTCGCTTGGACCAAGTCGTCACTTGGACCAAGAGCTCGCTTGGACCAAGTCCTTGTTTGGACCAAGTCCTTGTTTGGACCAAGTCCTTGCTTGGACCAACTCGTCACTTGGACCAAATCGTCAGTTGGACCAAGTCGTCAGTTGGACCAAGTCCTCGCTTGGACCAAGTCCTCGCTTGGACCAAGTCGTCACTTGGACCAAGTGCTCGCTTGGACCAAGTCGTCACTTGGACCAAGTGCTCGCTTGGACCAAGTCGTCACTTGGACCAAATGCTCACTTGGGCCAAGTGCTAATTTGGACGAAGTCATCACTTGGACCAAGTGCTCACTTAGACCAAGTCGTCACTTGGACCAAGGTTTCACTTGGACCAAGTGCTGTCTTGGACCAAGTCCTCACTTGGACCGAGTCGTTACTTGGACCAAGTCGTTGGACCAAGTTCACGCCTGGACCAAGTGACCACTTGGACCAAGTCGTCACTTGGACCAAGTGCTCTCTTCGACCAAGTGCTCACTTGGACCAAGCGCTCGCTTGAACCAAGGTTTCACTTGGACCAAGTCGTCACTTGGACCAAGGGCTCGCTCGGACCAAGACGTCACTTGGACCAACTGCTCGCTTGGACCAAGTCCTCGCTTGGACCAAGTGCTCGCTTGGACCAAGTCGTCACTTGGACCAAGTGCTCGCTTGGACCAAGTCGTCACTTGGACCAAGGTTTCACTTGGACCAAGTGCTCTCTTGGACCAAGTCGTCACTTGGACCAAGTCGTTGGACCAAGTGCCCACTTGGACCAAGTCATCATTTGGACCAAGTCGTCACTTGGACCAAACGCTCGCTTCGACCAAGTCGTCACTTGGACCAAGGGCTTGCTTGGACCAAGTCGTCACTTGGACCAAGTGCTCGTTTGGACCAAGTCGTCACTTGGACCAAGTGCTCGCTTGGACCAAGTCGTACCTTGGACCAAGTGCTCGCTTGGACCAAGACGTCACTTGGACCAAGTCGTCACTTGGACAAAGTGGCCAGTTGGACCAAGTCCTCGCTTGGACCAAGTACTCACTTGGACCAAGTCCTCCCTTGGACCAAGTCGTCACTTGGACCAAGTGCTCGCTTGCGGTCTGGTTGAACTCTGCGAATGCTATGTGGCTGTCTTTGTCGCTGTCTCAATCCCTGCAAGGTTGGTGGTGGGGGGACATGAGATGTTGGTGGTGGAAGCATGGTAGTTTGAGAGAGCAGCATGGGAAGACTCGTCCTCATGAGCCATGAGCTCGTGAAACACGGTTTGCTTGAACTCTGGGAACGATAAGCGGCTGTCGTTGTCGCTGTCGCGATCCCTGCAGGGGGACAGGGTGTTTTGGAAAAGGAGGACAATGGAGCGTGTGGTGGAGGGTAATATCAGGAACAGGATGGCCAAAGCGCATGAAAACGACATCAACCTGTTTGTGTCCGTGGCAGCTTTAGCTAGTCCGCTTGTCATGCATGCAGCATGCTGGGCTGGGTCCTGTCTCAACCTAACTCCGAAGGAACCTCTGACACAAATAAGTATATGTGCTCTTACAAGCATCTCAGATGAGATTCCACTACCTGAAATCTCACTTGAACTCCTGCAACAGTGTCAGGTTACGCAGGCTTCGATCATCACAATCCACTAGAAGTAATTAGCTGGAAGGGAGGGAGGAAGCGGGGAGAACCGAGGGAGGGTCGAGGGAAGACGGGGCAGAGTGGGAGGCGAGAAGGAGGGGTTAACATGAATCTGAGCAGGTTTCTTCATGTGATCGTCACAATAAAACATTCATAGGTTAACTGGTTAATTCCCCATCGCCATCACATCAGCTCACCTGTTGAGCTGACAAATATGTCAGAATGTTATATTCTCTAGCCTGCAGTGGGGTGCTCTATAGCAAGTACAACCCAGTTAGGGTTTGCTATTTGTATCCCAACTGCTGCTAGTGAAACCCCTCTTTCTTGCTCTAAACTTTCTACTGCTACTTTTGACATGGTATCAGAGCAGGTCGACCCCCTTGGGTCGATCCTGTGGGTGGGCCCACCACCTAACTGCTTCCGCTGCTCTACTGCTGTCTCGCGCCTCGGGCGCGTGACCCTTTGTTCCTGCCGCGCGCCCGGAGCGCGCGGCGTTTTTTCATCCCGCCGTGCGCTCGGGGCGCGCGGCGGTTTTCTGCCCGCCGTGCGCTCGGGGCGCGCGGCGGTTTTCTGCCCGCCGTGCGCCCCGAGGCGCGCGGCGGTTTCCTGCTTCGCGCGGCGGTTTTCTGCCCGCCATGCGCTCGGGACGCGTGGCGGTTTCGCGTTCCGTCGACCCGCGCGCTCGTCCCCGTCGACCTGCGCGCGGCTCCCCGTCGCCCTTCGCGGCGGCCCCGTCGACCCGCGCGCGGCTCCTCGTCGCCCTTCGCGGCGGCCCCGTCAACCCGCGCGCGGCTCTCCGTCGCCCTTCGCGGCGACCCCGTCGACCCGCGCGTCGCCCTGCGCCCCCCCCCCTCTCCGCACACCTGAGTTTGCTTACCGCACACCCGAGTTCGCTTCCTGCACGCTTGTGCACGCTTCGCGCACACCTGAGCTCGCTTACCGCACACTCAGGGTATGGGGGTGACGGGTATGGGGGTGGCGGGTGTGCGCGGTCCCCTGCTCCTCCTCCTCCTCCGTCTCCCACTGCTGCAACTGCCGCTGAGGGGGGTGGGTGTGTGGGAGCCGAAGGAGTGGTGCTGGGGGGGTGACGTGGAAGTGAAGCTAGGGTTTCTGCAGGGGGTGTGTGTCAGGGGGGTGGGACTGTTTGGGGAGGCTGAGAGGAGGCTGCCGTTGTGTCATCCGCAGCGCCTGTATTCCGGGGCAATTGCTCCCGGTAGCTCAGAGAGCCTGCTGCACCTGTCGCCTGTGGGTCCGTTGCTCCTGCCGCTCGTCGCAGCCGCAGAGCCTGTTACTCCTGTATTCCGGGGCACTAGCTCCCGGTAGCCACTGAGTCGCAGAGCGCACTCCTGTTGCCCGTGTGTCTGCAGCTTCAGCCGTCGTCTCCTATCTTTTCTTTTACGGTTCCTCCTCCTCCTCACTTGCCCTTTGTGGTTGCCTCTGGCTTTGCTAATTATTTTTGAACTCTATGAACTGCTGCTTGCTGTGCTGATTACACCCCACTTTGGCTATGGGGGTGTGTCAGAATGTTATATTCTCTAGCCTGCAGTGGGGTGCTCTATAGCGAGTACAACCCAGTTAGGGTTTGCTATTTGTATCCCAACTGCTGCTAGTGAAACCCCTCTTTCTTGTTCTAAACTTTATACTGCTACTTTTGACAAAATATTCAACTGCCCATCTCCATCAGCATCTGCCAGGCGGAATTGCTCCTCAAGCTCTCTCCGCTGGCTCTCGCCCCCCACGTCTTGCCGCCCCCCCTCGCTGTGGTGCACTGGTGGGGGCAGGCCGGATGGTGTGAGAAAATGAGAGATGGGAGGAGGAGAAGTGGGAGATGGGAGGAGAATTGGTGCAAACGCTTTATTGGGGCAGTGGCTCACTGGTGCGGGCGACAAGGGGGTGAGTAAAAATGGGAGGTGCGAATGACGAGGAGAAATGGGTAGGTGCAAGTGCACTATTGTGGCAAGAATTGCACTCTAGTGGGGCGAGGGTGAGTGACATTGCGGGGGAAGTGTGACTCTGCAACTACACTACACCACCCAGACTCCCACCTACCCACCCTGCATACTATCAAAACTTCCTACCTGATAGGAACGGTGTATGCTGCTCGAACAAACATACGTGCGCCCAAGAACTTGAATCATTCAACCAATGAGAGCAAAGTCAACAAGGTCAACACAGTCAACAATATGAACACGATCAAGTCAACAGAGTCAACGAGCTACTTGCCGTCCCCATCGCCGTACACTGCCTCCATCTCCCGCCGTGTGCGGTGCCGGCTTGCCGCCCGCTCCACTACCAGCAGCCACGTGGCGAGCGATGATTGGCTGACGCAGCCGCCGGGAGGCGAGGTGTCGAGGAGAGGGAAGTGGAGGGCGAGGCGGTGGGAGAGGTTCAAGTGGTCGTGACTCAAGTCGCCTGCAGGGAGCAGGGGTGGGTGTCGGAAAGCAGGGGGGAAGAAAGGGTGTTGGGTGTTGAGTGGAGATCACGCAAGGGAGAGGCGGTGGGAGGGGTACAAGCGGTGTGTCAAGTCATATCGTATCACCTTCAGTGAACTCATGGTGTTGTCCATCCAGCTCGCCCTCACATCTCATCATCCTCTTCATCCCGCTACTGCGCGCGCTCCTCCTCAAACTCCGCCAGCTCGCTCCCCTCTAGCGTCCCGTCGTCCGCCTCCTCGTCCCCCACGCCCACGCCTTCCCCGTGCAGGTGGTGCTTCCGCGGATCGTCGGAGTGTACGCGGAACGGCTTCCGCGCGCACGCCGCTCCCACGCGCGGTCGTCGCGCTGCTGCTCCACCTCCGCTAACAGCGGATCGAACGCCACGTGTACGACGCGAGGGTTCACCTCGCTCGTCGCATCACGTACTGCGTCGAGGACCCTGTCGTCAGCTGTCGCGCTGGCGACGCCTGACTCGACATCCTCGATACAAAACAAAAAGCTTAACGAAATGCGCCGTCTGGTAAACTCGAGGAGTCTGCGACCGTCAGGAGCACGGAGAGCGCGGGTGAGAATGAGAGTTACGACGAGAATCAGGAAAAATAGAGGATAGAGAATGTACGGACGAAGCAATGCGCGAAGCCTCGAAACCATCGTCGAAACTCTTTGGGAAAAACAACGCCGATTATAGTCAATGCATGCACGTTATGAGAGTTTGCGACATTCGCCCAGACTCGTACGCGCTAAACAGTCGTTATAGTGGCTGCAAACCATCGTGGGAGTCCTGGGGAGCGGAAGTGAAGGGGTAAAAACTTCAGGAACGCTTTACTAGGCTGACCCAGTTTCCTAGTTATTCCTAGCCACTTGCAGAAACTGAATCAGCTGGGTCTGCGCGGGACAAACCATGTGAAGATCGGAGTGCGTGTGGCGATGCGAACGCCGCTTTCGCCCGCCTCGCCTTGTTGAGGTTGGAGTAGTGAAGAGCACTTTCGTACACAGTGGTAGCCATTTCGCCAGCCTCGCCTTCCATGTTTCGAAAGTTGGATAGAGGCTATTTCGAATCACGCGGGGCGAAGGTGTTACCACATCAGCATTGAAAGAAGGTATTCAAGGAAATTCCATTAACAATTACACACTTTTAAATTATTACCTATCCCCCCCAACCTCCTCCCCCTCCACCAACTCTCCATATCACATTTCTTCTGCACCACAAGTCACATCCATCATGTGCATGTTATCAACCCCTCAAAAATTTTAGGACGAGCCACGTGACGTGAGTCACACGAAAGGTCTAAATGACAGCTGCAAGCGTGCACTCGGTGGTGTTGGTCATGGAGTAGCTGTTGCCATTGCCGAAGCGCAGCTCCTGCACGCAGGGCCGGAAGTCCCACAAGTACGCATACACAATGTTGACCGTCTCCCCGGGGAGCATCTGCAGAGTGCCGCTAGCCCCGCGGTTCATGCGCATCTCACAGTACCCCGGCGTGGTCTGCACGAAGATTTCGCCTTGCTGGTACTGCGAGGGGTTGGGATCGGGGTTGTCGAGGATGCCCTCCCACACGTTGCCGAAGTTGAAGCACTGCCACACGCGCAGCGGGCTGGTGACGTTGTAGGCGCAGCCGTTGTAGAAGGTCATGTTGTAGATGTCGTTGTGCAGGTCGTACGGCCCCAGGTACTGCGAGCGGATCGTCACCGTCGTGCGCCCACACGCTGGGAGGAGCAGGGGAAGGGGGGAGGGAGAGAAGGGGAGGGAGGGGGCAGGAGTGAGTTCAGGTCGTACGGCCCCAGGTACTGCGACCGGATCGTCACCGTCGTGCGCCCACATGCTGGGAGGAGGGAGGGTTGGGGTAAATGGGGGAGGATCAAGAATTGAAGGACTCGAAGCAGGCATTCGAATGCTGAGGGAGCTGGGAAATGAGTACCGAGGGGAGTTCGGTGCTGAGGGAAGCGGGGAAATGAGCGCTGAGGGGTGCAGGGAACTGAGTGCTAAGGGAAGCAGAAAAGGAGTGCAGGGGTGAGCAGGGAACTGAGTGCCAAGGGGAGCAAAATAGGAGTGCAGAGGTGAGCAGGGAACTGAGTGCTGAGGGGAGAGTGAGTGATGAGGGGAACAAAGACATGAGTGCTGAGAGGAGAAGGTGGAGAACGAGTGCTGAGGTGAGCAAGGAAAGGAGTACAGAAGGGAGCAGGGAAATGACTGGCGAGGAAAGCAGAGACATGGGCGCCAAGAGAAGCACTGCCAAGGCACCAGCGCAGGTGGAGAAGGAGAGAAACGCAGCAGCAACACGCGTGGATAGGGAGAGAAGGGAGCAGCAGTGCGTACAGGTGGCGAGGGCCTGGCGGCGGGGGATGTGGTCGAGGTAGTCGGGCAGAGGGGCGTGGTGAGCGAAGGTCTCAGCCGCCAGAATACGCGCGCCCTTCCTCTGCTGCCCCGCCGCCCCCGCCCCGCCAGGCGCGCCCCCCTCCGTTGGGACCAGGCCCCTGGCGACCTTCATGGCGTCCCGCGCTCCACTCACTGCTGCCGCCAGCAGCCCCACCGCCAGCACCGCCAGCACCAGCACGCGCATGCCAGCCGCCGCCATGAGGAGAGGAGAGAAGTGAGAAGCTTGAGGGGCTTGAATTGGAGAGTGAATTGGTGAGAGAGGATTAGAGGGAGCAGTGGGCGAGCTGATGACTTCATGGTAGCCATTATGGCCGCTTTATAGGTCGCGCTAGACCGCGAGATGATGCTAAGGGCGGGTTCCTCTCCTCTGGCGTGGAGGAGGAATCGCCCTTCCTGCTACTGGTGTTCCTGAGGAATCATCACTGCAGCGGTAATGGAGGAGATGAGCAGTCAGGACGGCACGGCAAGAGTCACTGCCGACTGCCATGCTGCCTACAGGAATCGCTCCTCTCACATCGCCACTGCCAACCTGCTTCTTCTTTCTTCCCACACCCGCTTGGAATTCCCTCCCGCTCCGCATGTCCGCTTCGCGCGGCCGCTGCTGCACATTGCGAGCTGCCGTGGGACACGGAGAGCGACATGATGCCAATGGTCGGTCGGCGAGGAGAATTCCAGCAGATCTGCGAGGCTCCATATCTCGCCGACACGTGGGACACGTGGGACACGTGGGACACGTGGGACAAGTGAGAAATGCCAATGGTCGCCAAGCCGTCCTGCTAAGCGCTCCAGCGGCTGTGCCGTAGGCTCAGATCTCGCCGTCCCGACGGATGTGCAGCCGAGATGCACAGTTGTCGATCGGCGGCTCGATCTGAGTTGCAACAACCATGGGGTAGACAGCGACATGGGCGGGGAAGCCCGCGCGGCAGCGACGTTGCTCTGAATGGGTCGAGCGACGGTTAAACCAAACGACTGCATACGATTCGCCTGATCGGAGTCAGCCACGCTCCACCTCCTTGACACCCCAGCCCCACGGTCGAGCTTGGGGGACAGTTAACCGGCTGTCTGAGAGTCTAACGACATGCAGCAGTCGAATCGCGAGTGACATGGTGGTTGCCCTACTGAACAACGGCTTTCCAGCACTTCAGACGGTTAGGTTGCTGTCTGGTCGGAGTTGTGTGCGTGTCGGTTTGTCGCTTGATAATTCTACGGGCAACCTTGCGGGTTGATGTCAGGTGTTCACTTTAGTGTATAATATTTTGTGTATACCCTTGGGGTTCTCCTGGCAATAGAGCACTCGAGTACCAATCTCAAGTGCTGGCAAATCACAACCTTCTCATAAGATGTTATGGACTCGTGAAATCTGTTGTTTGCCCTGCTTGCGATAAATCAATCCAACACCACTGGACAGCTCGATCCTCCACGTCAGGGTGGAGCAGCCGCCCCTGGCCACCTGGAGCAGCCGCCACTGCAGGAGCCGCCACTGCAGGAGCCGCCCCTGGACCCTGGAGCAGCCGCCCCTGCAGCAGCCGCCCCTGGCCCCTGGAGCAGCTGCCGTCGTGGCCCGGCCCCGCCCTGCAGCAACTGCCGCGGAGCCCTTAGCCGCAGTCGTGGCCCCGCCCTGCAGCAGCTGCCGCGGAGCTCCCTGCCACGGCCCGGCCCCGCCCTGCAGCTGTAGCGGCCCCGCTGTCGCCGCCGTCTTGCGCCTGCCCTTCCCACCACTGGTGAGCACTGCCCTGCCCGCGCTGCTACCGCTGCTACTGCTGCTACTGCTTTTACTGCTCCTACTGCTACTACTGTTACTGCTGCTACTGCTGCTACTGCTGCACCTGGCGTGGCCAGATGCAGCTACAGGGCCGTCCGCGTGAGTCCCTCACACCCCAGCAGCTTCGTGAGTGGTACGCTAGTTGGGGTTGTCGGGGTGGCCGTAGTGGGAGTCGCACTGGAGTGAGTAGTTCGGGAACTTCTGGTAGTGGCCAGGTGCAGGTGCAGCGTCGTCCCCGCGAGGCTCTTTCGCCCCAGCAGCTTCGTGAGTGGTACGCTAGTTGGGGTTGTCGGGGTGGCCGTAGTGGGAGTCGCACTGGAGTGGGTAGTTCGGGAGCTTCTGGTAGTGGCCAGGTGCAGCTGCAGCATCGTCCTACTAGTGCTGAGAGTGCCTGTCACCTGTGTGTGCCGCCTGACCCCGGTATCCAGTCTGCTGCTCTAGGTACTGGTGAGGCTGCCGCTCTAGGTGCTAGTGCGTCTGCTGCCCTAGGTCCTGGTGAGGCTGCTGCTCTAGGTGCTGGTGAGTCTGCTGCTCCAGGTGCTTGTGCGTTTGCGCCAGCTGGTACTGCGTCTACTGAGGCACTGCACACCTTCACACTGGACTCGGGTGCTTCCCGCTGTTTCTTTCGTGACCGCACTGCCCTTGAGCAGCTTGCTCGGCCAGTTGCAGTCTCCCTCGCTGACCCCTCTGGGGGTCCGGTCATTGCGACCTCCTCCACTGTCCTTCCTTGTCCTGCGGTCCCGTCGGGCACACTGTCAGCTGCTGCACCTCCCCCTCCTCCACGTCCCATGCCTGTGCCAGCAGGTCCGGGCTGGTTGGTGGGAGGATTGGGGGGAGGCAGTGAAGTAGCAGGATAAGGACAAGGTTGTGAACTGACATCCAACAAAAGCTACTGGCGGCGACTTTTGAGGCGCCTGAAAAGCTACTGGGGGTCAATCACCTCATCCAATGTCACTCGAATGCCTGGTCTCATGTCACCTGAAGCTGTGCTGAACTCACCGGAAGCCATGCAGAATGCTTCCAAAGTTCTCCTTCTGGGCGCCCACGAGGTGGAATGCGGTGTAGCGGCCGGTAGCACTTGGCGCGCCCTTGGAGTCAAAGGTGTCAGGGCCCTTGGAATAGGGGGCGTCAAACGGAACTCACCTGAGGCCATGCAAAATGCTTCCAAAGTTCTCCTTCTGCGCGCCCATGAGGTGGAAGGCAGTGTATCGGCCGGCAGCACTTGGCGCGCCCTTGGAGGTGTCAGCGGCATTGGAAGTATCGGCCACGGAGAGAACCTGAAATGGCTGCTGGCCGTTGTTCCAAATCCAACGCACCCACCCCCTGGGAATCGCAAAGGCGTCTCCCTCCCTCAGTCGCCTGAGAAGGACGCAAAAAGATGTAGGCAGAACGAGAAAGGAAAGCGAGAGGGAATCAGCAAGACAAAGCGTTTAACTTGATGCAGAGTTCCTAGAGGTATTGGTGCTGATATGTGGTCCCATGAGAGAAAAGGACTTCTTTATGCCTCCTGCACGTTTTCATGGCTACCTGAGATTCGTAGGTGCTCCCATGGGGGTGATGAGGCCCGCCATAGCCTCGCCCTTCAACACGTAATAGGCCTGATGCACGCGCACAAGGCATGGTGAGAAAGGGAGGCACGTGAGAGAAGAACAGTGAGAGCACGCAGAAAGGAAAACGAAGGGCAGGCGCAAGGCAACGAGATGCATGTCAGTAGCGCACTTGGACATTAAGAAATGACCACAGCAAGTCTTCGGATGATCCATCGACGAACCAGCACCAGACCAGAGAACGATGAAAGGGAAGAGAAAAACAAAGTCACGGAAAAAAAAAAAACACACACACACACACACACAAGGGAAAAAAAGTGGAATAAAAATAAACACACACACACAAATGGAGAGCAACGGTACCTGTGGGGAGTTGGCATAGAGCGGCAGTTCTAGGTACTGACTCTCCACTGTTATCAGTGCCGCCGCCACATGCGCTGCCTGGAAGCATGGCAGGAAGAAAAAGGGACATATCATGAGTTCCACAGAAATTGTGGTGTCTCTGGATGCAGGAACGACCAAGGGAAAGATGGAAAGGCATTTTTCATGGCCGCATGATCACGGGAAAATTTAACACAAGGGAGAGCTCTCTCACCTGCACCTGCCTGAAAGGCGTTCCCACTCTCACCTGCACTTCTTCTCACCTGCACCTGCTCTCACCTGCACCTGCTCTCACCTGCACCTGCTCTCTTCTCACCTCCAGCTGCTCAAAGTCTTCGCTCCACACCTCCACGCGCCCTCCACTGCCGCGAAATCTTTCCTTGGGCTGCCCGGGAAGAAATTCCTGCTGTTCCGCGAATGCACCCACCAGCAGCGCCACCAGCAGCGTCGCCAGCAGCGACCCCAGCAGCGCCAGCACAACCTCGAGCCTCCCCATGCTAGCTCGGCCAACTACGCCGTTCAAGAAGCCTGAGCCCGAGTGCAGAAAAACCAGCCCCAGTGCAAGGCCAACTCGGGCGGTCGCAGAAAAACCACCCCGACTAGCCCAGCCCACGCCTTGCTGCCCACTTCCGCCGTTCAAGAAGCCCCAGTGCAAGGCGGTCGCAGAGAAACCAGCGCAGCCACTCGATCTTCTCTGCAGCGGGAATTTCTGGGGCCAGGCAGGCGGGTAAGGAACTCAAGGGGTCGAAGCCTGGGGGATTCGCTACGAGAAAAACTCTTTCCTGAGAGCACTACAGGGTATTTTTAAGAATTGTAAAAAACGGCCTGATGGATTTGCTACGAGGAAGACTCCGACCTGAAAGCGCTAGGGGATGCAGATACGCGCGAATCGAGCGTGGTGAGGAGGCGGCGGGAATCAAAGTTTTGGTATACTCGCAATCTGAGTCGACTCAAAACTGAGTCCGTCCGCCCGACTCGCTCACGGCGGACGGCCTTGGGCTTCCGCCGCCGTCGCCGCTACCGCTCCTCCGCCCCTCGGCTTCCGCCGCCGTCGCTGCAGGGGAATCCGCGCAGCGGCGGGGCGGCACTTCGTATGCGGTGTTCCCATGCCTCCCCGCATCGACCCACCGTCGCCGCAGCGGAACCCGGGCAGAGGCGGGCCGGTCTCTTCGCATCCGTCCATGCAGCACCGCGCAGGTGCAGGGGGTTGGACCTTTACGTCCGTCCATGCAGCCCCGCGTCTACTCTACTCACCGGCGATGCGCGCCGAGACCGATCGCCCTGCCTCTCCATCTCGTCATGCGGAAGCATCTCGATACTAGCACGCCCGCTGGCATGTGACGGTCACTCAGCATGCGAACGTTCTTACTTGCTCGCACGCGGTCGCATGCTCACAGAGCCGACGCGCGGTGTGACCCAACCAGGGCTCGAGTGAAAGAGGTTCGCGCAGTAACATGTAGAGGCTGGTATGAAAGCGTGTATCACGGAGGTATGTGTAGTGTAGATAGAGGGTTGTGAGGCATCCTTGGCAGCATGGTTTGAGGCATGCGTGGAGGCATATCCGCCGTATTAGCACACATCTAGTGTGTGCTTGAAAGACACAACTGCATATGAAAAAAAGTGGAGAGTAAAATCCAGAATACATTGTCCTGTTTATATCATTCAATTCAAGTGGAGTGGGAGCTGGAGGGAGGCGGAACGCACAAAACCAAGCTTTGAAACGTACTCTACCGTGCGAAGAGAAATGTTGGCGAATTTCTAAATCCAGCAATTGCGGCAGACGGAAAATCAGTGAAGGCGGGGCGCGCGAATGTCCTGGGCAACTTGATGACCTTGATAGAATGTCAGAGGTTAAGGTTAAGGTTATATAAGGTCGTAACCATGTACAGCAAAGCTTAGAGCAGCTAGAAATATGGTCTACACAAACCAACAGCCCAAAGGCGTACGTAGGAAACACGTTATTTCCTTATCCACTTGATAACCACCAGCACGGCTGGGGAGCTCTCTATGCTAAAAAAGGGGAAGGACTAGGGGGGGCGAAAGGGGTCCCCAAGCAGCCAGGATGCGCGGAGGTCTGGGTGAATGGAAGGGGTTTCGTCGTGGTCGAAAACGAGGAAGCAAAATCGAGTGGCCAGCTTGATACGAGCGGCTGAGCGGCGTTGTTTTTTCACTTATTGTTTCTTCCTTCGCCAGAGGAAGATTTTGAACGCAATGAGGAACTGTGCTAGGATGAGCTGGAGAATCTCAAATCGGGAGGAGGGTGAATCTTGGAACTTGTGTTCACAGCGCGCGTTCCAAATAGATGCTCCAACCAGAAGGCTCCAGGGGGCCACCTGACCAGCTCTGGAGGCGAGCGGAAAGAGCAAGAGCTTAGGAGGAGGAGAGCAACGGAGGTGACGACAAGCGACGGAGGAGAGAGCGGAAATCACTGCAGGAGCCACCCCACACTCGTAGAAGATGTGGGAGATAGTCTCTGTGGGTGCGGCAGTGCAGAGTGAACAAATCCCTCGGTCTGCGGCAATGTCGAAACGCGAACCCGAAGGAAGAGTGCGAATGTAGAACCGGTACAAGACGTCGTGCTGGAGGCTGGGTTGCTCGCGTAAAAAGTCGTGGGAGAAGTCAGGGATGAGAGGAGGAGGAGCTGGGAGGACGTGGATCCAACGGGCGGCGTGGTCAAGTGGAAGCTGAGTATAGAGGCGGCGACGAATGTCAGCTACACTGGGGCATCCGTCCTGTAGGATGTCGAGCCGCGCGCCGAGCCCTGCACCTGTATGGAAGGGGCATGCAAGCCAGGACCCAACGACATGCACCGCGTAAAGGTCACTTATGTTGAAGGTGCCATCTCCGATCGACGAACGGACGATGAGCCGGTTGGGAAGGACACGGTGAAGGGAGGCTGAGAGCGACGACGGAGGGGAGAAAGCCGTGACCTGGAAAACAAGAGTGGGGGAGGACTCGGAGTCGTCTTTGGGGATGAACCACTCCCCAAGGGCTGCCGAGGGGGGAGGGGGGGAGCGAAGGGCTGACCACCAGGGCTTGGGGATGGCACGGACGAGGTCTCGCCAGACTCTCCGTCTAGAGGGGGAGTTGGCCAAGGGAGGTAGAGACCTGACAGTGTGCCCGACGGGACCGCAGGACAAGGAAGGACAGTGGAGGAGGTCGCAATGACCGGACCCCCAGAGGGGTCAGCGAGGGAGACTGCAACTGGCCGAGCAAGCTGCTCAAGGGCAGTGCGGTCACGAAAGAAACAGCGGGAAGCACCCGAGTCCAGTGTGAAGGTGTGCAGTGCCTGCAGCAGCCGCCCCTGGCCCCTGGAGCAGCTGCCGTCGTGGCCCGGCCCCGCCCTGCAGCAACTGCCGCGGAGCCCTTAGCCGCAGTCGTGGCCCCGCCCTGCAGCAGCTGCCGCGGAGCTCCCTGCCACGGCCCGGCCCCGCCCTGCAGCTGTAGCGGCCCCGCTGTCGCCGCCGTCTTGCGCCTGCCCTTCCCACCACTGGTGAGCACTGCCCTGCCCGCGCTGCTACCGCTGCTACTGCTGCTACTGCTTTTACTGCTCCTACTGCTACTACTGTTACTGCTGCTACTGCTGCACCTGGCGTGGCCAGATGCAGCTCCAGGGCCGTCCGCGTGAGTCCCTCACACCCCAGCAGCTTCGTGAGTGGTACGCTAGTTGGGGTTGTCGGGGTGGCCGTAGTGGGAGTCGCACTGGAGTGAGTAGTTCGGGAACTTCTGGTAGTGGCCAGGTGCAGGTGCAGCGTCGTCCCCGCGAGGCTCTTTCGCCCCAGCAGCTTCGTGAGTGGTACGCTAGTTGGGGTTGTCGGGGTGGCCGTAGTGGGAGTCGCACTGGAGTGGGTAGTTCGGGAGCTTCTGGTAGTGGCCAGGTGCAGCTGCAGCATCGTCCTACTAGTGCTGAGAGTGCCTGTCACCTGTGTGTGCCGCCTGACCCCGGTATCCAGTCTGCTGCTCTAGGTACTGGTGAGGCTGCCGCTCTAGGTGCTAGTGCGTCTGCTGCCCTAGGTCCTGGTGAGGCTGCTGCTCTAGGTGCTGGTGAGTCTGCTGCTCCAGGTGCTTGTGCGTTTGCGCCAGCTGGTACTGCGTCTACTGAGGCACTGCACACCTTCACACTGGACTCGGGTGCTTCCCGCTGTTTCTTTCGTGACCGCACTGCCCTTGAGCAGCTTGCTCGGCCAGTTGCAGTCTCCCTCGCTGACCCCTCTGGGGGTCCGGTCATTGCGACCTCCTCCACTGTCCTTCCTTGTCCTGCGGTCCCGTCGGGCACACTGTCAGGTCTCTACCTCCCCTCGTTCTCTACGAACTTGGTCGCGGGTCGTGCGCTCCAGGACGGGGGTGTCCACCAGTTCACCCCTGCCTTCGAGCGCGTGACACACTGCACGTGTGCTCGGACGGGTCGCCACCTGGCTACCTTCACTCGGCAGCCGGGGTCGGACCTGTACACACTGACCACTGAGTCCCCCCAGGTAGCTGCGTCTGCGTCTGCGTCAGGTCAGCTGTCGGCCCCCTGCTCGTGTCGCTCCCTGTCGCACGAGACCGTCCTCTGGCACCACCGCCTTGGTCACCCGTCAGTGCAGCGCCTTCGTGGCATGCACTCCCGGTACCTTGTCTCTGGTCTTCCCAGGGTTCTCCCTCCCCTCCCACCCTCGCCTGCTCCTCCCTGTCTTCCCTGTGTCGAGGGGCGGCAGCGCGCCGCTCCTCACTCCTCCTCGTTTCCCCCGATGACTGCTCCCCTGCAGACCCTCCACATGGACGTGTGGGGCCCAGCCCGCGTCCGTGGACAGGGTCACGAGAGGTACTTCTTGATAGTTGTTGACGACTACTCGCGCTACACCACGGTCTTCCCCTTGCGCACCAAGGGTGAAGTCCCTGATGTTTTGATCCCTTGGATCCGCGCTGCCCGTCTCCAGCTCAGCAAGAGGTTCCACTCCGACTTTCCTGTTCTGCGTCTGCACTCTGACAGAGGTGGGGAGTTTTCCTCCGACCTCTTGCGGGACTTTTGTCGTGGGGAGGGCATTGAGCAGTCGTTCATGCTTCCGGCCTCTCCACAGCAGAATGGGGTTGCTGAGCGCCGCATTGGCTTGGTCATGGAGGTCGCTCGTACCTCCTTGATCCATGCGGCTGCCCCCCACTTTGTGTGGCCGTTTGCGGTCCGATACGCTGCGCATCAGATCAACCTCTGGCCCCGTGTCTCCGTTCCGGAGACTTCGCCGACACTGCGTTGGACGGGAGAGGTTGGCAATGCGTCGGTGTTCCGGGTCTGGGGATCTCGTGCTTTTGTCCGCGATACGTCCGCGGACAAGCTCTCCTCCCGTGCTGTTCCTTGTGTCTTCCTTGGCTTTGTCCCGGACGCGTCTGGTTGGCAGTTTTACCACGCCACCTCGCGCCGTGTCCTACCCTCTCAGGACGTCACTTTCGACGAGTCGGTCCCCTACTACCGCCTCTTCCCCTACAGCACTGCCCCGCTCCCCCCCCCGCCTCTCTTCC